CTATTTCTTTACTATTATCCATTATTGTCTCAGAAAGAATATTTGTATGATGAAAACAATTAATGATCTTTGTTGAAGAAACACTATCCCACACATTGACTATAAAGTTGATTGCAGTAAATATATTAAAATTATTGTTAAGGTTATTGTTATGTTCTCTAGCTTCATATTGATTTATAATCCATTTAACAAATTGGGATTTATAATGATGCTTAAATGATATTATTATTTCTACGTCTAATAGTTGAATTCTACTCATCGTTTTTGGAGGAAAAAATTTTACTTTGGTATTAAGAATTATATTATCAAATTTATGACTAGGTGCACCATCAATTAGAAGAATAACATTACGCCTAGCCATTTGTTGATCAAACTTCTGTATCTATTTACTAAATATAATTTCATTAATCTAGGCTTTTTTACTAGCCTCATACATTGTGCATAAGTTATTTTGATTAATTTTTTTGAAGCATCGTGGATTTTGTATTTCTTGATTACAAGTGATTCATGTTTATCACTTCCATCAGCATTTACACAAAATACAACTGTAAATCACTCTTTATTTTTTTCCTTTTAAGTTTATTGTAGCTAGCGTTGTATCAGGTTCAAAACGATAAAACAATGTTGTCTCATCCGTGTTATAGATATCTTGAGTATTATATTGAAATAATAAGTTTTTTAATTCTGGAATTGTGGCATCTGCGACATTATTGTTAGCTGAAGCATCCTCTCTATAAAGTTTAATTTTGAAATCTTGTATCTTCTTTTAAATTTATATAACCATCCCAACGAAAATTTAAATTGTTCTATAGGTAAGTTTAAGAGTTGTACAAAACGTTTGGCTTTTTCTATTAGAATCGTATCAGTTATGGTTATATGATCAAGCTCTGAATATTGGACAGGTTTTATTCTTTTGACGATAAGCTTTCTACAAGATCAACTTTTCGTTTTAATAAATATCCAATAGTAGTGCGGTGAATATCTACAGTCTGACCTCTCTATAGTCTTACCCCATATAATCACACCTCTATATAAGCACCCAATATTGTGTGACAGACTTAAACATAGTAAAAAAAATAGCATAGCGAAACAAATAATGAAAAAATAGCAAAACGAAGCAAAGAATGAAAAAAAAAAAAAATACTTATTGCTTATTGTTAATTGTTTTACTTAACTAGAATTATTTCAAGATATTTTTTT